ACTTACAATGCTATAAACCAGGTTTCGATACCCGTGGTGGGCAGAGCACAGATAGCCCAATGAGTAGCTTTGTGTATAACTTCAAACAAACAAACCCGACAAGCGTGTAGGGGGCCCAATTACTTTTATGCGGGGGTATCTTTTGTAGTTATGCATCTGTGAAGAAGAAATGTAATATAATTTTCTGGGTTACGAAGAAAATGACAAGTGATTTCATGTTATTTTTTCTCTTCTTTTTTTTTTCTTTTTTTACTGAACAAGAGCCTATTAGAATATTTGTTGCACCAGAGGACTTAGATGTAGATTTCCGAATTTCCCGCCATACCGGTCTTTTAACGTACAATCCAAACGATTCTTACAAGGTTATCGTGTTTCATAAATTTAAAACTAGAACTAATATCAACTCTCCATTAAACCTGGAGAGGAAAATTCATGTCACGTCGCTCCGATATCTCTACATGTAATACCGTCCAGAAAAAATTATTATTTTAATGTGTTTTGTATCGCTTAAACACCATTTCGAAATTTAGAAACGATATGACGAGAGAGTGTTGAATAGTAAAAATAAATTTTAGACAATATTTTTTCTCTTTTATAATTTTTGTCTATGATATTTCATTGTTTAATGCAAAAATGCAAGTGCGTTTTAAATTCATCAGATGAAAAGCGTTCAAAACAACCAAGGTCTAATAGCCATTTTTTTTGTATAAAACCAAACAATTAAAATGGGAATCGGGATCTCTGATAAACTGACTCCATTTCAAACGCCCCCCCTTCCAACACTAGAAACCGGGTTTCGATACCCGGGATAGGCAGAGCATAGATAGACCATTGTGTAGTTTGTTGCTTAACTTCAAAACACAAACAAACTCCATTTCAAAAGCATCACGATATCAAAACAATAAACTAAATCTACAGGAATAAGATATCAATATCATTACAGTGATCGACAGTGAAACGATGTACATTTATGAACTAGATGAAAGAAGAAATTCACAAAAACTGCTTAGGGAGAAGGATTTGCAGACTAATGTCTAATCTGACGACAATGACTTTCTTCATAAAAACGTTAAATAAACAAGTAATACATTTATGTCACGGCAAATTAGCAGGATTGATATATTAACAAGATAAATAAAATATTGGGAATTTAAAAACCTGCAAATAGGGATCGTAAAAAAAAGTAAGGAAACAAGACTGGGGATACTGTAGACATTACTTACTCAATCTAAAAATCCCTATTTTGATTCTACCAAATGTAATTCTAAGTAACAGCGGGTTTCTTTACTTTTTACGATCTTTATGGGTAGGTTTTTAAATTCATAATTTTTTATTTATCTTTTTTCCTGGCCCTTTTTTTATGCTCAACTATGGGCAAAAGATTACTTGATGTGGTAGCTAACTTTATGTATTGTAATTATAATAAACATAGCTAGTAGCTAGCTGATACAGTTTTTATTTTGTACATAATATAGGGGTTGGCTCCCTAAGGACATCGATTGTATAGTGTACAAATCATTGAGTATCTATATATTATAGTCATCTAATGCTCATCTGTTATTGACTGGTAATTCCTGTTTCACCTTGTACTTAAGCATTTTAAAGGAACGCTAGATATTTGTAAGAAAGGTAGCTTCAAGGGGTAATAATAACATCGTTTTCACTAGAATTGTGATTTTTGTTTAGCTTATAAAATATAAAAGAAAAAAATCGACTTTTCAACACCTCTATGACCTTCACAGTACCTTATTTAGTATTCTACAAAATGTTTGGGTGCAATATACGAAGCCGTTTTTGTTGTAGGCTGGCAAGAAAATAAGAAGAAGAATTATAAATGGGCCATTTTGAGCGGATTTTCTTTTCTTCGTAAGTTTAATATACATGCTTTTTGTACATTTTATATGTGTACAGCCTTAGCTGTCAGTAGTAAAGGTTTTAAACTGTTGTTGGAACTGAATCTTTACTGTTTAAGGTGCTTTTTTTGCCCGAACGTTCTATTAGGGTTTTGCTCAATTCCTTGCAATCTCTATTATGAACTACTATCGTGGTTCATGATATTAAAAACCCAGTAAGTGGCCTATGTGTGTACAGTATTATGAACCACTATTATGGCTCATGATACTAAACCCAATAAGTGGCCTGTGTGTATACAGCATAGGTTTTAGGTTTTGAATTTCACTTTGACACAACCTAAAAACAATTCAAACGATACGTACACTGAGCAACAGGAAAGAGGACATAAGCTTATATTGAGACTATCAATGAAATTTGACTCGATAACTTCATCAAAGGAAGGTTTACTTTTGACGGCATGGCCTCAAATTCAGCATCTCCTGGCGGAGGTTTTCAGTTCTTTCTATGTAAAATACCTCACACTGACTTATTTCCCGGGGCCAGTACATCGGTAACGTCTAACACGTTAAACAAGAACGATGACATTCAAGCAGGGAGCAAATTTATATATTTATTTTTTCTTGTGTGTAAACATCTATTATCTCAAACTAAATGATCGATAGACCAAGTATTATATGAACTTCCTGGTATAAAAGGTAAGCGCTGTCTATGCGCATGCGCTTTAACTACAAGGTGGGTCGTTAAACGTGTTTTGGAGCGGCAGACTTAATTCAAAGTTAATTCAAAACCGGGTAACCGTATTGTTCGATATTTAGGTTAAGGGCAAACGTTCCTCCTCAGGCGATGCTCGGGCCTCATCTGTACGACTCTTTTTTTTTTGTTGTTGATGTCGTTGTCTAATATACAAATAATAATACAAAAAAAGAAATAAAATAATTTTAAAATCGGTTTTTGTCTAAGAGGCCGTGAAAACTAATCAAGGATTCGCTTGAGTAACACAATTAACCTTGAACTTTATGTGAACTCATGGAAAATTATTAATTCTAAATAAAAGGAAATTTTAATTTAACGTTTCCTGTGTTTTTCAAAATTTTTTGGCGTTTTCAAGAATCCATTTTTCGGTTAACACGTGGAAAATTAAATATACCGAGTTCTTTAGCGGTTGTATATTAATTATAAAGACGAAATGTACTAGTTTCACTTTGATTATGTCATAATAACATTCACTATACAACTGATTTTGATAATTTTATTATTTCAAGGGTCGATATTAGTCAATATAAAACATCAGGTATGTATGTGGCCCTTTCCGGCATTAATAAGATTCATAAGGCAACGGGATCCGTAGTGTGCGGGTAATGTTTATGTTTATGTACGCCACACGTCGCCGCCTACTATCCATTTCCTTCAATATGTGTCCTGGTGTCGCATATGAATTAATATCGACCTATTTGAAACAATCGATAGTTGTACTCGAGGCTATCAATATAAAAAACCAGCGTGAATTGACATAATAATATAAATAATTATTATTATTAAGAACCTCAGAAAGACTGTTCTAACTGATTTTATAAGTTTCAATCATATTTTCAACTTATTTCAAAATCATAAGTCAACTTTATCATTCTTAACCCGTAAAAACAACTACCTCACAAAGAGGCTACAGAACGCTTTTTAAAGTCATTCAACTTTGTATTGAATATTTTCTGTAATCGGAGATCTTTATGAATCTCAAAAATATCTTTCCCCTGTGGATCAGAGGTAAGTTTACATACTTACAATGATATAATCCGGGGTTGGAATCCCCGTGATGGACAGAGCGTGGATAGTCTATTATGTAGCTTTGCGTTAAGACAAACAAATCGAGCCAAAAATAACAAATATAAAGAATCAACTCACAAAACAGGTATATCAAGGTGTAATTATCAGCTTTTTTCAGAACTTATGTTATAAGCAATCGTTTAATAATTTAAAGATATGCACAAAGAAACTCGTCATATTTTAAAACATGGTTTAAATTGACTTTGACTTTCTTTCTGGAAACACCTATATGAGAATATTTGCACGGAACTTCTATTAAGATATAACTAAAACTAAAAACAAACAAAACACGTCTATATGAATCTGACTCCTCCTTCTTTTGGTAGGACTAAAAGAGTATTCGGTTACTGTAATGTGAAACAGTTATTTAAACAATAAATAATGCATTACTTTAGAATTGCTGTTTATTTAGTCTAATGACTTGGATAAGTTATATGTCTCCTTTACGGACTATTTTAGCGTGTTTTTGTTGTTTTTTTTCGTTCAATGAAAAGTAAATCGATTGAATAAGTTAGTAGTGTGTAGTGTGTTATGTAATACAGTACATTTATTTATGATTAACGTAACTTAAATAAATTCATAAATTCAAAAAGACAAAAAAATTAGTTTGCCGTGATACAAGATGAAACTACGCAGGGAGAAACAGAGATATCTTGAATAGATCTAGAAAACCCAGTAATACAACTCACAGTGTTTATTATGTTAATAGCAACAGTTAACCTTCCATTCGATGCTTTCCCCTTCAACAGAGTTCCTTAACTGGACTGTGACCTGTGACAGTACCTAAGTTAATGCGAGCGAGAATATGATTTCGCTATGTCAGTAACCCTCTCTTCTTTCCTGTTCTCTTCTCCATCGTAATCATCGGAAGAACAGGGGGAATAAAAACCGATCATGAAAGCGTACTTTTACAGCCTAGTGCATAAATATCCAATCTTAACAGCTCATCATCACGTAGAAGATTTTACAGCCTAGTGCATAAATACCCAATCTTAACAGCTCATCATCACGTAGAAGATTTTACAGCCTAGTGCATAAATACCCAATCTTAACAGCTCATCATCACGTAGAAGATTCATCATCACGTAGAAGATTTTCTTTTTTTCCAATTTTGAACCCCCAGTTCAGTCCACCCCTTCCTACCCATTCCTAAAAACATCCAATGAATTGGTGTCGGTAATACAACATAAATGGTAATGAGTTCGAGTGCAAGCAACGAACGAATAAGAACCTAGGTCAATCTTACGCGTGTTGTGCATGCGCTCTTACAGGTTAAAATACAATCCTTCTCCCAGATTCATAAGATGAGGGTGAGCAATCAATGAGTTAAGAGAAGTACCAAAGTAGGACTTTAGACCATAAGGAACGAAACAAACAACCAGTCTATCGGAGCGTGCTAACAGTTAGACTCTGGTCAGGTTGGGAGTCTGGTGTGAAATCTACTAACGTTTGAAGAGAAACACGACTTTTAGGGATGACGTTTGTGACAAGCAGTAAATTATTAGTGTAAGTACCTTATCTATTAATCCACATTTCCTAACGTATGTTTATTTTATCTATTAATCCACATTTCCTAACGTATGTTTACTTTATCCATTAATCCACATTTCCTAACGTATGTTTACTTTATCCATTAATCCACATTTCCTAACATTTACTTACTTTATCCATTAATCCACATTTCCTAACGTATGTTTACTTTATCTATTAATCCACATTTCCTAACGTATGTTTACTTTATCCATTAATCCACATTTCCTAACATTTACTTACTTTATCCATTAATCCACATTTCCTAACGTATGTTTACTTTATCTATTAATCCACATTTCCTAACGTATGTTTATTTTATCTATTAATCCACATTTCCTAACGTATGTTTATTTTATCTATTAATCCACATTTCCTAACGTATGTTTACTTTATCCATTAATCCACATTTCCTAACATTTACTTACTTTATCCATTAATCCACATTTCCTAACGTATGTTTACTTTATCTATTAATCCACATTTCCTAACGTATGTTTACTTTATCCATTAATCCACATTTCCTAACATTTATTTACTTTATCCATTAATCCACATTTCCTAATGTATGTTTACTTTTTATTACCGCTTTATCTATCCTGTTTTTAGTTTTTAAGAAGTTATTAACAATCATTGGCCCCCCTAGTGGCACAGCGGCATGGCTGCGGACTTACAACGCTAGAAACCGGGTTTTGATACCTGTAGTTGACAGAGCATAGATAACCCATTGTGTAGCTTTGTGCTTAACTACAAACAAACAAAAACAATCATTGTTGTAAGCACATATATAGTGCAAATATAAGTCAATCACCACGAATTAAAAGCGTAAATATCATCACACAGAAGTTTTATGAAAACCCTTAATAATAAATATCGTTCATTAACATATTGTAAAAACCAATGAATTTTTAAATATGATATATATATATATATATTTATATATAACAGTATAACATGCATTCGCTAATATCAAAGTTACTGTTTTTATCAAAAAATAATATTTTGTACGTGATTATATATAAACCATGACTTATTGAACAATTTTTTAGATCAAATTGTTTCAAAATCTATAAAATTCTTGCTTGTTAAAGCTCTTAAGACTTTTGATAAAAATAAATTGAATTTTAATTAATATACTAGAGCTAAGAAATTTTTAACTACTGTCTCCGTGATATGTATGTTTACGTACAGATCTCATATTAATATTCTGGTATCGGTTTTACCCATAAAAACACTAAATGGAACGTTACATTATGGATTATTTTACTAACGTACACCCAGAGAAGATGCACTAAAGATCAAACAAATCTACTTAATTTATAGAATATATGTACATTATAAGTACATTCCCAGTTTGCCCCTGAAGAAGAAAGGTCTACCTTTCGAA